CATGAAGTGCATACGCAACATATGGAAAAACTGAATGTTTGGGCTGGCATTTTTAGTAACCGTATAATGGGCTCCTTTTTTATCAGAAACTTTAACCGCAGAAATGTTTCTGGAATTATTAGAAAACGCTATGTATCCAGCTTTACTAGAGTTGATTTGGGAATGACGATCAGTACATAGCAAACAACTTAATATTCCAGCATGACCAGGGCAGACAAAAGGGAGGAAGCCGAGACTAATTCCCGGGGCCCGGGCTCAAGTGGGGGCCCGGCAGCTTTAGGTGAGTACGTTTTTTTATTTTTTTTTTAAGTTCGCCACAAAAAACTCAAAAGGGAGGACCTTGTTTTTTTTTAGAAAAGTTATATTGAAAATTGTCCTGGGACCTGACCTGGCTCTTGGTGGCCCTGAACATGACGGTGCGCCACTGTTTGTCAGTATTTGGATCAAACGTTTCCAGTTTCCAGGTACGGAAGAAGAGGAAGTATTGAGTGGTCCCCACAGTCTCCGGATCTATGCCCGTTGGATTTTTTTATGGGGCCACTTAAAAACTAAAATTTATGCAACCCAGCCAACATCACTGAAAAATCTGCGACAACGGATAATTGATGAATGTCATCAAATCATCCCACAGATGCTTCAAAATGACCCGAGAGCATTTTGAACAAAACCTCTATTATTGCATGGAGGGTCCAGGGTCAGCATTTCTAGCATTTACTTGAGTAATTAGTAAACTTTTACAGAAAATAAAAATCGTTAAAACATCATGGCTATGAAGACAGTAGCGATTTAAAACTCGGGGGTTATAATCTATGTAAAAATACCTTCAAAATACCAGTGATGGCTGCACCGATCATATAGGGTTGCCAGATATCCCGTTTTAGGTGAGAGCCTTCAGCCTAACCAGCAATTGGACATTTGACAATAGCTTTTTAAAAAACCGGTGGTGCCCTTAAGTGAGGTGTGAAGGGTGGGGGAGATAGCCCCGATTTTCCGCATAGAAGCCTGGCACCCAAAGCAAAATTTGAATTCCGGCGCCTATGGTACTATGTAAGGCCAACCAAAAGACATTTTTATTTAATTGTTTGTTTATTACTTTGTTTTTTGTATTAAAATAAAATATATGTTTTGTAGATTCTAATTTATTTAAATGACACTAACAGTGATTCGTATTCATGATCCGAAAAAATGGATTCGAATCACTTGATTCGAATCCTATTTTTTTGTAGATACCGTGATTCGAATCACATCTAGTGATTCGAATCTATTTTTTGAGGATTCGTCCCAGCTCTGCTATAAAGTAATCTAAATTGAGTACTGCACTGGTGTCTTTACTGCCGTATTATTCAGAAGTGCATATTTGCAATTTTGACATTTTTAAGATTATTGGTATATTTTAGTGCACCATAGTCTAACTATTTGTTACAAGCGAACACCGTATTTTACGAAAATAATAATGGAATAGTTAAAAATAATACAAAAATTTAGGAGGTATTTACTAACATTTTTCACATACGACTTTTTCAATTAACATGCCAGTGCAATTTGGTCATATTTTATACGTTCATTGTTAAAATTGCTTTTTCCACTTACACTAAGTGGAAACCGTAACCGATTTTTTTTTACTAGGTTCACAATCTTGCTTAAAAATTAGAATAATTAACCCCTCCATTTATTCAGATTTTTTTCAAAATCAATAAGTTTTGTCCCTTTATACAGCTTGATTTTTAATAAAAATCTCATGTTCATATCGCTTTTCGGTGTTGATTTATAATTTTTTAAATTCTGCCCCCCCCCCCTTAACCCTCTATTTTTGATCAGATTTTTTTAAAAATAAATAAGCATCGTCCCATTGTAAAGCTTGATTTTTCCTGAAAATTTCGAATTGACAATGTTTTTGTTTTATGATTTTTTCAAAGTTTTAACCCCCTTAACCCCCCATTTTAATTCAGATTTTTAAAAATGAATAAACTTTGTTTTATTGTAGAGCTTTATTTTTCCTGAAAATTTCAAGTTCATATTGTTTTTCGTTTTTATTTTGTTTTTTTTTTAAGTTTCAATTCTTCCTTAACCCCTCCATTATTAATCAGATTTTTCAAAATCAATAGGCTTTCTCCCCTTATAGAGATTGATATGTTCTAAAAATGTCAAGTTGATATTGTTTTTCGTTTTTAATTTATGACTTTATTTTAAATTTTAACCCCTTTAACACCCCAATTTTAATCAAATTTTTTTTTAAATTAATAGTCTTCGTTCCATTGTAGAGCATGATTTTTCTGAAAATTTCAAGTTGATATTGTGTTTTGTTTTTATTTTATATTTTTTTTTAAGTTTCAATATTCCCTTAACACATTTATTTTAATTAGATTTTTTTCAAAATCAGTAGACTTCGTACCTTTATAGAGATTGATTTTTCCTGAAAATTTTAAGTTGTTTTTGACTTATCGTGCGGACAAAAACGTGACATCGGACGGACATTTTTAAAAGTCGTTTAAAATTTGATGAGAATGATTTTGGTACAATTTTTTTTAAATTTGAATGAATATTAAAAATGTTGGTTTTTTGAAAGTAAACCTATAATACTCTTCACAGGGTACTGTGGAAGAGTATAATAAGGAGTAATCCACAAAAAATGTTTCTGAAGTGTTCCTTGGAAAAATTGAGCCGTGCGTAGTTACACGGACATGACTCGTATATCTGTCTTTGTTGGTCATGGTCTACTTTAGAAACCTTTTTTGTGGATCACTCTTTATAATATAAAATCATCAATTGTGTATCTATTTGTTTTTATTGTTTCTCAGTTCTTTAAGATCCAAAAGTAAATGGTTAAGTGAGGAATTCTACGCGTGTTGAAATACATTCAACATACATTTAAAATACATTCAATAGACATTCAGCATTACTAATTCTCGAACAATATTAATCCCTACAGCCGTCCCTGTAACTTGTACTATCTCAGTCGATAAGGAAGTTCTCTAACAGACAAATACGTCATGCCACTCCTCATTGGTAAAAAAGTTGTTACGTCAGAGCCTCAAGCTTGTCCGTTTCCTTTACTCTTTACTCTAGAGATGAGAACTCTTCGTTCTTTTAAAAGAACTAGTTCAAAGTACTAGATCGCAAACGAATTTATATTGTAATCGATTAGGGAAAGCAGATCGTGCGCAAAGCACGTGGACGCCAATAGTTCCCGGAGTGGCGAACGGAATTGTTTTTGTTATAGTTCTTCCCAACTTCTAGTTCATTAGTTCGTTCAGTTATGTAGTAAAAATAATTGGTTTCATCTCATTGGTTCGGTTAGATCCATTGGCGCTTGAATGGAGTATAAAGTGCAATTATTTAATTTAATGTTTTTAAGTTTAATTGTAGTTGAACTGAACTAAATCAATACTAAATATGTCTGACTCGATACGATATTTGATCCGATACACGAATGGAACCATTACAATACCGATCAAAGAGCGCTCGAGGTACGTGTGCATCATCTTCGTTCTCGTTCTTTGTTCTTTTCTCAAAACACTATCTTTTTAACAACGCACCAACCTCTGCAGCTGAAATTCGCGTCGAACTAGTGAACTAGTTCAGTTAAAACATTCGAACTAGTTCATTTAGTTCGCAAAAAAGAACGGTTCATTTTAATGGTTCGTTCGTGAACTACCCATCTCTACTTTACTGACTGCTTCATCAAACGCACAACATGCGTCTCCAGTGGCAAAAAGGGACGCTGTGCCCGCCATTGTATAAAACATACAGTAATACGGCTTAACTAATAAATTTCCGAGAAAAATGTAATTGTAAATAATGGAAAAATTAATTTAGATGTCAACAATGTCCTAGTGTATTAAACTGATTTTCATTCGGTGTTAAAATAAAATGTGTTCAGTAAGAATTGGCCTTTAAATCAAAGTATCTGAATCTCTAGGACCTCATGGATCACACAGATATTCAAACATTTTTTATTAATACAGTCCGTGAAACACTGGTTAAGCCTGTACATCGGTGTGATAGCAACACCGCCTATGGATTAGAATTAATTTTTGATTAATTATATCTATTAGAAAAGATTTTACTCATTTGACCATAAAAAATAATTCGTTTTTGTGTACCTCCAAACTGAGGTGAACAAGTGAATGCCATAATTTAAAATTGCAGGAATAAAAATTAAATTTTTTGTATATGTATACAAAATTTAACACATTTTTCGATAAAAGTTCGTGATGTTTTTACACGTTTTATTTTAATAATAAACATATGTTTATATCTCGAAATGATTTAAATAATTTCGAACACCTGGTAAATATTATTTTTCAGGTAAAATCTTTGGTCTGGGAGAACTGAAAACTTTTGGTTCTTTTAAACTGAACATACAGCGAACTTTAAGATATTTCAAAACATGTACAGAAACAAACAAGTCTTTTATATTTTTTATGAATCCTCCAAACTGAGATGAATAGGGAAGGTGCCTATTATTATTAAATCATTTTAAAATTCTGAATTAAATATTTGTGAATCCCCAAATTGAGGTGGAACAAGACACATAAGGTTTGTTACAAAACTTTCTTGACTACCTAGGTAGGTATTACTACTATAATTATATTTTTCAAAAAATATTTACCAATCTAAATATAGGCTTCAAAGTGCCAAGCACGAAGCCTTGTTCCAATTTTTCTGTTTAGATTTGATCGTAGAATAATACCTACTTGTTTATTTTTATTTGAGTTTCCTTCATTTATTACAGACGAAATTAGACTGGTTCCCCACGCTATTAAACAAAATCGATTATACGTGTTGATATATCCGAATCTAAATTTATCCCTAAATCGCACATTTTTAGAAACACTGTAAGCATATAGTGGGCCTAACTTGTGCTATATATATGTATACAATATATACATATGCCTTCCGAGAATAAGGATTCCCAGTACTCCTCAACAGAGCCGTCTCCCACCATGCCAGCCTTCTTTAACGTGAAATGAAAACACGTTCTAACATTCCCAGTAAAAGTTTACAATGTACTTCCATCTTTCTTTAACTCACGACCATATCCCCTCTCTGTCTTTGAAGCGTCATCTAGACAATCTAGCTGGGTTCGACTCGACTGGACGGATTTCATTCGTTATTCAACTGCAGTTCAGAATTATTATACTCGCATTCATTCGATCAATAAATAAGAGAATATAACCTCAAAATTTGGTTATTTACGATTACTTTTAAAGAAAAAGTCATGTGCAGTTGGTTTATATTTCGGACTAGTGTTTTATTCTAGTTTATATCCAGTGTTATAGTGTTACTTTTAAGCTTTTTGGGATTAAGTGCTCTTATTTTTAAAAATGTGGTGTATTATATGTAATACTAGTAGTTACTGTCTCCTCAACATCATATAGGTAAGAATTTTAAATAACTTTTTGTTTACAATTACAAAATTACATTTCATTGATGCCTTCATTAAATGAGCTTCATTTGTGGTTCCATGTTTTCAATGAGAATTAATTAATTGTGAGGTGACCTAATTGTGTTTTACATTCATAATTTTAATGAATTGAAGTTTCCTGCAGCTACAATTTGGCTTTTCAATGAAATAGATACCAAACTAAACAATAACTAACTAGGTCATCCACAATCTTTTATGTAAATGAAATTTTAAAATATTTGATTTAACTTTTACTTTTAAGTTAGTAAATTTAGATTTAAATCTATTTTGTATAGTTATTGTGTGTGATCCAAGGTTGAGTTAAAATTGTTTCGTAGAATTATTTTTAATCAAAATTAAGAAAATTAATATTTTTCTAATTTTGAAAGGATGAATATAAATATAATTTAATTATTTGTACCACATTAAATTATTTACATTTCGTTTAGTATTATTTGATTTGGGATTGGCATTTTTAGCTAATTATTAAAATTCGTTAGGTATTTTTTATTTAACCTATTAAATACAAAAGTAAAATACAGGAGTTATTTACCTATCTACAATTTTTTTTAAATAACTGCTTAAATACTGAAGTTTTAATTATATATTTACTATAATACCTAGTAATAACGTAACGAGTACTTGGTAACTAAAAAATACTTAACGAATGTTTTAAATTCCACAAAATGAGTTAATTCCAGTAGGTACTAACCTCAATACTAACCAAGTTCTAAAAACCTCCGGTCTGCGGATAAGTTTTTCTGTAATAAACCCATGTTAATTATACCAGGATAGACAAGACCACAATGTAATTGTGATCGATCAGAATAGCGAAAACTTTAGTTATTTTGGGATTTCCATTCCATGTCTACCTATTCGATGAAATCAACTATTTGTCTACCGTTAAATTAACTGTTAAAATAAAAATATTTAGATCTACACAAACTATATACTTCTCTTATCAAACGGTAAATGTCTACTCGTAGAGAACTAATTATAAAAATATGTATATAACAATCAAATGAAACCAGTATTACTCCAGGCACTAAATCAACCAGATGAACTACCAATATGGAAGATGAAAAATTTATATTATTCAATTAGGACCCACGTTGGGCGCCATTTTTCCATCATATGTCGATTTAGTTATTAAAATTCTCAGGATAATACCGCATAACGAGCATAATGTGGAATTCAAATTAACAGTAGAGTAGTAAAGAAGAGAAACATAAGTTGAAAACGACATGCATGTGTGCAATTCACTATATATGTCTCTTTAAACCTTTAATGTAAACGACCCTGAGTGTATCGTAGAAACGAGCGGTCTTGAGATTTTTAAATGGAATTCATTATCTCTGATTTCTCGGTACCAGCATTGAAATTTATTATCTCTTTCGACGATAGATACATTGTTGCCAGGTGATCCATCATTCTATTGTTATTCGCCGCATTTTCAAGAATTTTATTTTAACAGAAATCCCAAAGAAATAATGGGATTAATACCTACCTAGTTATCTTCTTTAGTTTACTGCCAACTCAAACGTCAAATATCCTTATCTTGACTGCATATTTTAATTATTAAAGAATTTTTTTTATAATTTTCTTGAATGGTTTCATCATTTCATTCAAATAATACGCCTTCTACGTAATTGATAAAATTGATAATGGTATTATTAAATATTTTATAAGATAAATATATTTGAGCTTTCATAAAGATCAAAAAAGGTCATCGTCCATGAAAGAAGCAAATTTTCAAATAGTAATCAGTCGTGTTTAAACTTGATTACTGTCTTCTTCTTCTTCAAAATGTTAGGATAGGTCATTATCATTTATCTACTCGTACCTATCATAATAATTCTTGGAAATTGAATAAGCGCGATAACATTGACAACGTTGCGAAACTATAACTTCAGCATTATTGGATACTTTCTATAAGTGATAGAGACGAATATAAATAGCCTATCACAGATTATAATTAACATGTTGGCTTTATAATTTACATAATTTGATTGTAACATGAATTTCGTCATATAGTTGTTTTTCCTGGAAAAGTATAGAATCGAACAGTCTAGAAGTCTCCTGATATTTTCGTTAATTTTATTAATGAGTTATCAGCTTTAACCGTCCATATCTTCAGACTATTTTGGCTGTGATAGGCTATTTTAATTTTAACCATTTTTAAAAATAAAATCATTATCAATAAAGAGTTGTGAAACGTCTAGAAATGCTGATATTGCATAAACATTCATATTGTGAACCCTGATACATTTAAAAATCAATTACTGCAACTCAAAATTTGTTATCTTTGCATTAATACCTAAACTTTAAAGAATATTGTTATCAAAAAATGGGTCTTAGTTTATTCATATTGACTATATTAGAAAACACAATAGCCCTTAGAAGATAATCTTGATCTTAGGTCGTTAGTCCAAATTGTCAAATACCTAGGTAGGTATTCAGTGGAAGGCTTTGTAATTCACAATTGTTGGAAATCATTATTATTAAGGTAAGATAATTTTAAAATAACGAATAGTAGGTACTCTAAAAGGTTGATTTAATATATCTATATGACATCATTAGTCAAGGAGTAGAAATAAACTGCGATAATAAACTATTTTTCAGGTATTTTGAAATACTAGAATCTGACTTAACCATAAAAAGGACAATAATTAACATTAAAAATTAAAACTATAATTATTGTGCCGCTCAAATCAAACATTAAAGTTTCTGCAAATTGCAAATTCTTTATTTAGATGATTGCTGTAGGGTTGCAGAACTGTCAAAAAATGCAAGTACATCTACATTTCTGAGAAATTAATTTATACATTATAAAATATACGTATAATAGATTTTATTAATAATCTCATTAATTTTAATTATTAAATAGTAAATAGGGTGTAAGCACTGCACCGTTTGGACCGATGCCCGCTCATCGTCTCCTTCAGTTGTTCTAGTAGTCTTAATAGGCATATGCCTGTCGAAACAAGTTTGCGAACAAGGAAAATTTCTTGTCAACATTATTTTGATCAAAAGTAAAAAAGGTGTATTGAACAATTATACTTTAAAATGGTTCAATACACCTTTTTATTTATTTTTGATCAAATTGACAAGAAAGTTTCGTTGATATCAAACTTATTAATTATTATTTTTGACTACTAGAACAACTAAAGGAGACGATGAGTGGGCGGCGGCCCAAGCAGTGCAGTGCACACACTATTTACTATTTAATAATTAAAATTAATGATATGCATATAAAATTTATTTTACATATATTTTAAAATGTCTAAAATTATTTCTGTGAAATGCAGATGAGATACTTGCATTTTTTGACAACTCTACAGCACTTATGCACTTTTTACGTTTGTACTACAATTGTAAAAATATCCCTTGAGCCAGGATGACTTTTGGTTCAAATCAACATAATATAAATATGTATATTTTTCATCAAAGGTTTGACAGCGGTTTGACTACGAATTTAAATATGCAGGTATATAAGTAGAGCAATTGCTAAAACATCATTATTAAAATTAAAATGCTATACCTACAATTTCACGGAATTTACACTTGCTTCATTTTTTTTGTATTCTAATTAGTTCTTGAAATATTGTAATACATTTAACTATATGCATAATTTTTATTATCCTGATGTTCCAAACAACACATTGTCGATTTCGGAATTTAATTTGATGTGATAATCTGCCTTATTATACGGGTATTTATAATGTTTTTTTATTAAAATCAAGAAGTGTTTAAACCGTCAATAATACAATTAAATTATTACTTAGAACGTAGACATCCGGTTGAAAAGAAAATATTTTAATATTATTCCAAAAATTTTGTCATCAAAAAAAAGATGATTACTATTCTAAATCACTTTATTTATAGTTTTGGTAAATTTAAATGAAACAGGCTAGTTGGAAAAACCTTACAAACGTGCTGTTAAAAGTGTAACTAGATAGGTTATGAGAACTAATTTTTCTGGTTTCTTTCTAGAATTAATTACATATTTTTAGTATTTGTTTTTATTGGAAACGCAATAATTCAATGGTGAGGGAACAACATGATCAAAATAAAAAAAATCGACAACGTTCAAACGATTTTTCGCTTTGTGTAGAAAGTATGAATTAATTCTAATGGAAATTAGTAAGTAACTGTTCTAATAAAAATCCAAATATTTACATATCAAGCGTAATTTTCCAAATTCGAATGTCGTATTATTTTCGATTATTTTACAGTAAACAATATATTTAAATAACTCGTCATAATGGCGATATAAACAGTGTTTAGATCCAACCTCTCACAAACACAACATGTTTATAAAGATAAAATTTAATAAAGAACGTAAAATAGACAAGTAGGTATCGAAAACATAATGTCCTAATAATCTTATTATTATTTGCTGTAAGTTGTAAATCCTAAAACTTCAGGTTTTGTTTATTGAATAAAAAGTTCATAAGATTTCACATCCGGTTCCATATGATTCATTTTTAATCCATATCTTGAGCAATCTATAAACTGTAATAGTTATTGATAATAGATAATTGTATCTAGGTATATTAGAGATACATAAATGAGGTGATGACAGGAAACAGGATTTATGAATGGTTTCTTGTTATTTTACAAGACTTAGATAGTGTTTTAGGTGAATGAATTTAATTTGTGATAAATTTTCTTCCTAGAATCAAGCAAATATTTTTTCTGACTTATGCGACCGGAAATGGTCTTTTTTCATGGATTTATTTATTTTGCTAATAGTTAGTTCATATCTATCTAATGTTGAAGTTTCAAATTAAATTAATTTCAATTAAGAGAAATTGCTGATTATAATATATAAATATGTATGTATAAGTTAATATTAAAATTTAATAATATCTGTTATTGCTTACGTTATTTACAACACCCTGAATTATATATAATAAAAAGTAGTTTTAATAAAAATACCATTTATAACAAATGTTTTTTGCTAAAGCATCA